CTATTAAGTCTCACTCTACCCCCATATTAGGTCCCTCTACCAATAGAAAACCATGTAGGACACATGCTCATGAATTTACACAACTGACTGCCTGAAAAATATGAGAAAAATAAGAGGTAAAACTCAAACTCCATAGAGACCTCACATTTGAAGAAGAAAACCATTCCTCTCCATTAGAACAAAACCCTCCCATGAATTCTCCTTACCTCGCGTAAGTGAAAACCTTTCTGTGGGGATCACCACAGTCTAGCATCTAAAGTACAAATAAATAACATTGATTTTGTTTAAATCCTGAAAGAACTTGTCTCACTGTAAAACTATTTTTCCTTTCTGATGCTATTTTATGATACACAAAATCTTCTTCCTAACCAGAAATACTTCCTCTCTCAGATATTCTGAATTATCTCATTTTGAATCTGTTATTTAAAGTTAATAAGGCTTTTCAAATTCCTTTTAGCCTATAACTTGATGTTTTGGAAGTGTCCCTTAAATTAGCCTGAAAATAAAGCACCAGTGGAAATTAAACAAATGAAACTTCTCCACAAAATAGAGCTTCTGAAAAATTCACCTAGTGGGTAATAATTTATAGAAAAGGTAATTTATTATTTATATTCAAGTTGTTTGTACCATTCACAGTATCTTCTTCACTTGAGTGGCAATGGCCAACATACACTATTAAGGATTATCAAGTATATACTTTAGCACCTTTCTTGTGAAGAAACTAGAGAGCCTTATAGTCATTAATCCAGTAATTCTAGCAACACACTTTTAAAGATGAGGGTAAATGTTCTACTCATCTAAATATTTATTTCAGTAATTAAAACAAAGAGCCTTAATAAAGACAATCCAATTTGAAAGTTCATGTACTAAGGGAATAAACTTGAATTGAGAATATAAAAATTAAACTTGTAAGCAAAGAAAGCCAGTCATTGGAAATCATTGTTAGGCAAGCCCTAGAAAAGGGAGAGATAGAGATAGTGTCTGGAATAAAAAAGTAGGCCAAGGAGAGGCAATTCCAAGTCAGAAACACAAGTAAAAGACCCTAAGATGACAATTCCTAAGTTGTGTGTTGAGAGGCCACAGGGCACTGGAGTAAAATCACAAAGGCACTGTGGGCTATCTGAAATTTTTGAGAGAAACACAAAAACATCTGTTGACATTTTATGAATGTTTAAAATAAGGCTTTTGGGATCTAATTACTTAATAAATGGAATTATTAGGTATTTCTTTGGCTCAAGGACACCATGAAGAAATTATTGCAATTCTAAGGGTGCTGTGAAACAAGTCAGTTTCGGAATCTCTGCCTTAAGGACACGGGAAGGGTCAAAGGACATAGCTTGCTTAGAGTAGAATCAAAGAATCAGATCAAAAGTGGAAATAACATCATCTCCAGTCTGTACATATCTAATTATACATGGTAGGGCCTTTTCTTTCACTCCATCCTGGCTCTAAAGAAAGGAACCTTTGTGCCCTATTACTCTGAATTTACTGTAGGATCCCTTTAAAATCACTTTATCTTGCTTTTAAGTCACTGAATCTTACTCTTAATATCAAAAACAAAACCATGATTTTTCAGTGTTGGTTTGGGGACTGAATAACTATAGTTCCTCAAATACTTAGTTACTAATACTTAGAAAATCTCCCAAAGTCCATAGTTTAGCTTAGGGTTTGTTCTTGGTGGTGTAAACTCTATGGGTTTGAATAAAAGTATAGTGATATATATTCATCATTATACCAAATAGGATACTTTCACTGTTCCTAAAAATCCTCTGCATCACTATCCCCATAGTTTTGCCTTTTCCAGAATGTCCAGTTGGATTCATACAGTATGTAGCCTTTTCAGTCTGACTTCTTCTACTTGGTACTATGCATTTAAGCTTTTCCTCCATATCTTTTCACAGCTTGAAAGCTCAATAATTTTTAGCATCGAATTAATATTTCATTGTCTGAATGTATCTCTGTTTACTAATACGTTTATCTACTAAAGGACACCTTGGTTACTTCCAGGTTTTGGCAGTTATGAATAAAAGTGCTATAAGTATCTGGGTGCAGGTTTTTGTGTGGACCTAGGTTTCAAATCCTTTGCATAAATAGTAAGGAGTGTGATTCCCAGACCATACAGTAAGAGTAGGCTTCATTTTGTAAGAAACCACCCAATTGTCTTCCAAACTATCTGTACTATATTGTATTCCAACCAGCAATTGTAAGAGTTGATTTTACACCACATCCACCAGCATTTGGTGCTGTCAGTGTTCTCGATATGTTGGCCACTCTAATAGGTGGGTAATAGCATGTCATTGTTGTTTTACTTTGCATTTCCCTGATGACATATGACAAAGAGCATCTTTTCATGTTTATTTGACATTTGTACATCTTCTTTGGTAAGGTCTGTTAAGGTCTTTGGCCCATTTTTAGCTGAGTTTTTATTTTCTTACTGTTGAGTTTTTAAGAGTTCTTTGTATACTTTGGATAACAGCCCCTTATCAGAGATATATTTTGCAAATACTTTATTCCACTCTATGTCTTGTCTTCTAATTCTCTTGAGCCCATGGATTCTCAACATCAGAAATTAGGATGAAGCAGAACAGGACCAGCTCACCTCTGGTCCACAAATCTGGGGACTCAGCTGGGATGACTCTAAAGGTTCGTGAAAGGTGATCTAAATGGCTAGGAGCTTGAATCTGCTTCTCCATTCATGAGACTGGCACTTGGGCTCAGCTAACTGGAGGGCTGGCCTCAGCTGTGACCATCAATAAGAGTACCTTCAAGGGGCCTATTTATGTATCTTGGACTTTCCACAGCACACCAGCCCCAGGTAGTCAGACTTCTTACATGATGGCTGAGAGCCCCAAAAGCAAGTGTTCCAACAGACAGGTTACATGGCCTTTTATCACTAGCCTCTGAAGTCACATATGGAGACTATGATCACTTTTACTATATTCTATTGGTCAAATCAGTTACAAGCCCACTCAGATTTAAGGGGTGGGGGGATAGAGATTCTACCTTTTTAAGGGAAGAATACTGAAGAAGTTGCAGCCATATTTTAAACCACAGACTTATTTAGAGAAATACACAAATAAACGCTAAATGGTTAACAGTGCCCACTTCCCTGGATCTGTCTGAGTGAATTTCATTAACCTATTAAGTCACACTAATCCAAACATTATCCTCCATGAATGGCAAAATTCCATCTACCTATTTTTCATGTGATACAGCAACAAACAGACAGGAACTTCATTTTATCTATATAAGTTGCATCAAGAATGACTAACTGCTTGCTCCTGATCCTAGTACAATCTGCCAGTTATAACCACTGATTTTCCAAACACCATCAAGCTCAGATCCATCCTCAGCTTAGGCTAAGTCATATCCAGACAGAATGCAGAGAATACAATACCTATAGCAGGTAAAGCAAGTAGATTAGGATCATGCCAGCATTATGGTTGCTGAAATTAGTGGCCATTCCTTATCTCAGTGAATGACTTTAGGATTTCATGAGCCAAGAAAAATTTCAGGAATAAATCAAATGAGAGCAAATAAAGTTACCAATTTTTTATTCTCCAAAGTAAGAACATGTAGAAAACAACTACTTCATAATAACCACCACATAAAAGAAATAGAATGGTCAATTTCAAAATAAAGAACAATCCTAATGAGTGAATAAGCCTGACTAAATGAAAAATACATTTCCCCCCACCTCATTTCTCTTCTGATCTGCAAAAACTTAACTACAGATAAATCCCAATTCACAAACTGATGTGGGAAAATACCTGTGCACCTGACATTCTGGTGGTCTCTTCCTTCTCTTGCTTTATTCTAATAGTTCTAGAACTTTAGCTTGCTCCTAGGAACTTGCTCCCGGGAATTGTATTTACTTAAAAACACAAGTAAATAACACAAAATGAGTGGATGAGAATGCAGAAATAAAATCAAGGAAAAGTTTCACAATTGAGGTGGGAAAACGTTTGTTCCTGGAAAAGAATGGAGATTATTGTAGATGGCAATGACTGCAGCTGAAAAAGACAATCTGTGTATACAGTATATCCAAGGAAGACTGTATCATGCATGAAAAAAGTAAGTAGTGGTTACACTTGGATGTAGAAGAAGGGTTAGTTTTCTCTTGTTTGTTCTTCTTTTTCCTGACATTTAACCATGGAGTGTTAAATTTAATGATCAGGAAAAAAACAATTTCAATTTTGTAGGTCAACTTAGGAAGAAAAGGCCTAGTTTCCTTTTAGAAAGTGGTTTGTAGTAAAAGAGGCCAGGTTGCAAAATGGAGTCGTTAAGTATTTGGAAGAGGGCTGTAGACACTAAGCTCCTGATTTTGGCTAAGGCAGATGACACGAGGGAAGGTAACATTCCCTCAGAGCCCCTGGGAGAATCCCAGGCTGGGTGTAATACTGTAGGCCTCCTTATCCATAGCGTCATTCCTCAGAAATCCTCAGGTGGTGGGTGCTGTGTTGCTATCTAACATGCTTATCAGCACCTTTGAGTCCGAGACCAAGCTTAGTATCCTACACTACTGCTGCTTCTAAAATTAAGCTCTTTAGAATTTTTTTCCCCCGAGGACCCAGAGATAACTAAGAGGCCTTACCCCTAGGTTCTGGCAACTGACAGAAAACTAAGCCGACTCTTTCCACCCGTCTCTGTCTTCTTGATCCAGCTGGCTCCCCATCCAATCCCAGAGAGAAGGGGAGATACTTCGTGCAGAAAGGGGTTCAACTCTAAGGTAACTCCCTCTTACCCAGGCTTTCTTAAAGCTGGAATACAGTCAGCAGACGAATGTAGTAAGCTTTCCCCAAGTGTTCTCAAACAGTTCTTAGAGATTCCAGAATCCTTTTCAAAGGCCAATGGGATACCCCGCCGTGATTCCAGCCATTCCATCCCACCTGTGCTTCCAACCTTCTAACCTGGCCACAGTGACCAATCAGAGTGTGAAGCGAGCCGGAAGGGGCGAGCCCCTCCCCACGAATCATCAACCTCAGACGGAGAGCGGAAGCGGAAGCTCTGGCTTGGCCTTGGGTTCCGCCGTGGCGGGGATGTCCGGTGGGAGAAAGTCAGGAAGTCCGCGGGGCTGGTGGGTTTGACTCCTCAGCTTCAGGCTTTTGGTAAAATCGGGCGAAGAGACGCCCGAGAAAAAGAGCGCGGGAGGGAGCTCGACCGCCAAGGAAAAGAGCGAGCGGGCAGGCAGCACCGGGGCAGAACCGGACTGTGCGGGGTACTTAGAGGCCGGTGCCGGTCGGCGCCGCTCCCTGGGCTATGGTGCGGGCAGAACTCTGGGCGATCCCCAGGTGAGAGCAGCGGCTCCGCCCGCGGATTCCCCGCGGGGAATTGGGTGGATGCGGGGTGGGGACGACGGGATGCTGCCCGCGCGGCTCCCTGGTAGCACCCCGAGCGGCCGCAGGCGGGGCAGCAGCAGAAAACACAGCGCGCGCCGAGGAGGCGGTTCCTGCTGCTGGTAAAGTCCCCAGCCCAGGAGCTGTTTCCTCCGTAGTAGGCGAGTTGACAGGACAGCCAAAGAACAGGGCTCCCCTTTACAGTCTCCTTCGAGCTCTTTTCCCTTGCTACTCGGAGCTGATTTATGCGGAAACATGCCTTGCACTTGTACCTGGAGGAACTGGAGACAGTGGATTCGACCTTTAGCGGTGGTCATCTACCTGGTGTCCATAGTGGTTGCCATTCCCCTGTGCGTGTGGGAATTACAGAAACTGGAGGTAAGACGGTCCTACAGCGTTGGCCTCTACCCTTTCTTCTTTCGCCCTGCACATTTAAGGTTGTCCGTTTTTGCCCTGGATGACCCAGACTTGATATCGTGAAAACCATGTCATGGAAATGAGCATAGTTTGAGGACATAAGCTGTCTGGTTTCGGGTTCACAGTTTTTCAAGTATGCTACAGGTGGAGGTAGGACCGGGCGAGAAAATAGTTCACATGTATTAAGATAGCTGCTTAGAAGAGTATTTTCCAAATATTCATCAGTTCCCTGAAAGTAAGGTGATTTTATTCCTCAGATCTGATCTGGTCAGATGTTGACCTTAACTAGTTCAAATAAACTGCCTTTATTTAAAACCATACACTGAATTTTATTGCATTTAACTAGCTTCCTGAATTAAAGCATTCTAGTTTAAATTCTGGTTTAAATTAACTGTTAACCAACAAAGGTTTTTCAAAAAGTCCCTTGTATATTTTTTGATGTCATATTCTTATTATGACATCAGTAATGTACTACAGGCTGGAAAACCCCAAGGTAAACATTTTATAAAAATAGTATGATGACCTTTAAATTAGAAGTTAATAAAAACCAGAAAGTACTTTACTTAGAAACACCTATTTCACAAGAGCTATGACAAGGCCATGGCTATTGTAGGCCTTTTATTATGGAAATGATTTTTGCATAGTTAAAATATATTTAATATACTTTTTCTTTCTTTATGGTCACTAAATTGTTTTTGTTGACTTTCCCACATTGGCATAGTCCATACAGTTATTTTTAATGTTAATATAATAGTCCACTACATTTAACTATTTCTCATTCGTTAGATATTATTGTTTCCATAATTTGTCTACCAAAATCCAAGTTTAGACATCCTAATACAAATAAAGATTTCTTCCTTTGAAGTATTTCTTCAGAGTACAGTATAAGAACTACTTCTATGGGTCATAATAAGTATAATATCAGCCTAGTTTAAGACTTCTCTTAGTTGTTAGTTTCAGCTGTAGTTTTTAAGTGCCAACATTTAAGGACAGTTTTAATCTGCAGTCTCCACTGCTAACACCCTGAGCCAAATTCTCTTCATGTCTTGACTATTCTCAACACACCAGCCGAAGTATCCAGTTAAAACATAAGTCACATTATTTGTATCCTCTTCTCAAAGTTTTCCAGTCACTCCTAGTCCCAGAGTAAAAGCCAGGATCCCTAACTCATCACAGAGGCCCATCATTGACACCACCCCCTTTGCAGTCCCCTCTGACTTTAAATTCCTGGCTTTCCCCACACTCACCTTGCTCAAACATGCGATTTGAGCTCCCTCCTAAGGCCGCTTGTGCACTAAATGTTCCCCTTTCAGGGCATGCTCTTTCCCCAGGTGGCACTCTCATCCCATTATGTCCTTCAGATATTCATTCAAATGTCACCCAGCTACCCTGTTTAAAAGCTGCAAGCTTCTCTTCCTCAACTCTTCACATGTACTCCCTGCTTCATTTTTCTTCCTAGGACTCACTGTCACCTAACACAATATGTATCTTATTTTGGGATCTTCTGTCCAAATGTCTGATACTTAATAAATGATTATTTGGGTCCCAGTGATAAATCAGGCTTGTGTTCTGTATGATGAGAGAGACAAACATGGCACCTACCTTTGTGGAACTTAGTGATGGAGACAACCACAGCCAACAAAAATCAGTAAATAAATTGTAAGAAATGCTATGGAGGAAACCAAAATCTAAGAAATGAACAGGCATGGCAGTCTTAGTCCCCTCAAAAAACCACTGCACCAACTTGGAAAATTAAGTGGAAGTGTAGGGAATTTAAAAAGCTCTTTATGGTCGTTAAGAAGTAGTGGATGCCTGCTACAGTGACTTACAGATGGAAAACTGAATTTTGGGTGTCGTTCGAAGTAAAGAAACAGGACCTGACAATAGATTGGATTGGGGAGGAGAAGCAATGAGAGAAAGGGAGAAACCAGGAATGACTTTAGGTCTGTGTCTTGAAGAGCAGGGTAAAGCATTTACTTTGAGATACATGAGAGACAAACAGGCATGTCAGATATGCAGCTGGATATGCAAGTATAGAGCTCATAAAGGTTTGAACTGCAGATATAAACGAGGGTGCTGTCAGAGCAAACCACACCATAAGGATGGATGAGGATTATGAAGCAGCAGAAGAAGAAAAGGTTGAGGACCTGGCACCAGTATTTAGAGGTCAAGTTGAGAAAGTATAGGCACTTATCACGAAAGCAGCATTAGCCAGGGGGGAAGTGGAATGCCAGGAGAGTGCAGTCTTGGAAGCCGTAACGGTAAAGGGTTCAAGAGGGCAAAGCTGAGACGTCCCATTTTCAAGAGAGAGGAGGCTCACTTGTGATCCTAGTAATGGTTTCAGTGGAGTTGTAAGAGCTGAAACTGGAGAAAGTTGTTTGAAGAATCAATGTGGAGTAAAGAAGTGGAACAGGATGTGAAGACAAGTTTTTGTGGTAGGAGTGTGGAATTAAGGAAGGGCTTTTTTTTCCACCTCTAGCTGTGTTTGTTTCTGAGATTAGAGACACTAACTAGAGTCCCAAGATTTAGGTATAATGTTATTTCATCTCCAAACCCTGAAGCATAGGACTTATCCTCATTTGTAGATGTGAAACCTGAGAAGGATCCTTAAGTGGCTACGGTGACATTGTGCTGAAAAATATACATAAATCCTTATTCTCTTCATCATTATTCACTAAATGAGTTCATGTATCTGAAATGCTGAACACCATGCCTAGCACAGAGTAGGTGCTCAGTACACCCTAATTACCACTCTTGTTTTTAAGTATCACCATTGTTGCGTTGGAGCAGCAGCTCTTTTTTCTTGTGGAGCATCTTAGTGGGGGTTAGATTCTCAGGTGAACACCTAAGGCAAAGTTCTGCTTGAGCACTAGATAAAGTATTGACATGTCGAGAACAGTTTTCTATGCAAAATACATACGTCTTTTAAACACTAGAATCACAGTGCTCACAGGTCAGTGAGAAGTCAGTGGGTACAGGGATCATAGAAAGCAGGAGATTCATAGAGCCCTTCTCATACCCAGAAATGTCAAGATGCCCATCTGCACCGTTTAAACCCTCTCTCTCATCCCTTTCTTGACTGAGCATGTGTAACTGAGGTAAGTTCAGTGCACACATGATGTCACACTGCTCCGAAGTCACTACCCTGCCCCACTCATCCTCAGGCCCCACATGCTGCCCTGTGTAAATGCTCCTCTCTTCTCTGGAAGACAGGGCCCAGGAAGCACTCGCCTGTTCATCTCTACTCTCTGCTTTGAAAGCATTTGGCTGAGGAACAGTTACCTTACTCCTGGGTGCTGTTCTTTCTTTCTTCTCTACTTTTCTTCAAGTTACCTTTGGAAAAAAACTGTGCTACTTTATCTCCTTGTTTTGTGAGCCAAAAAACCGTACTCCTGGCTAAGTTTAATGATGTCAATGGTATCCTTATATCACAGTGTCTCAAGTGTGAATAATTTTGAGATAAATGTCAACTAAAATAAATGTAATGATTACATTAATTTCTACACATACCTAGAGTTGACTTCTTAAAATGTTACATAAATATGTACACACATAAAATAGGTTAAATTTCTTATGCATATAGCTTTTTATATAGCTCAAAATCAAAATACCTATAAAACCAGTGATTCAAATTAATGGCATTAATGTGGACAGGTGATGTGTTTTCTGAAACTAAATTACCACCTGCAGTGTAAAAATGGTACTAACTCTATGATGCAAGATTTTTTTAATTTGGCATCATTATACTGAAATGACTCAATTCTCCAGTCACTTGTTTTATGATCATTTGAAAACAATTTCTTGCTTACAGTACACTGAGAATGCTTGGCCTTTGTTGATCACAAACAAATCATTTTTCCCTTAAGTCTACCCTCACGTTCTACTTTTTGGTACTTAGGCAATCATAAAAACAAATGTGGGCATTGAAATTACTTGGCAGTACTGTTCTTAATGATCACCTTATAATGGAGAATATCTCGAATATGCTTTTTTATTACAGTTATTGCTAGAATATGCCGGTGGTGGTATTTTAGGTCATCACTAAAATGAATACTCAATTTTAAATGAAACTGAGCCAAGCAAAAATCCCTAGGAAATGATTACCTGAACATTCCTTTTAGAGTCTTCACTCCACATACTGGCTTTTCACTTTTGCTTTGATTAATCTCCATCATTCACCAAGACTTTTATATTTGTTTTTCAAGTTTCCCATACAGTTTAGTGAAGAATTCATTGTTGTAGAAATACATTTGTTCTCTACACTTTTCTGCTTCTTTACTCTTTGACCCAGATGGAAAAAAAAATCTTGTTCAGAATAGTAAAACTAGAAGTTGTGGACTTTGGTTCTATTTCAATTAAGTACTCAACTCCTCAGGTACCAAAAATAAATGCCTGCCTTTTGCCATTTTTTCCTTTAAAAGTTAGTATTTGCACTTTTTAAAAAAGAATTAAAGGATTCACACTTCAAAGCAAGAGTACAAGTTAGCATAAAATTCATTTCTATGGCCCCTCAGATAAAATAGAAATTCAAATTAACTTTTTTTACCAGAAAATGAGTGGATTACTTCAACTCTACCTTTGGAATGAGACTAAGTACATTTTTAGAAATAGAGCTTTTAAAGGACAAACTACTGATCAATACTGCCCTAAAAAATAAATTAGAGCTTTTTAAAATGTAATATCCTGAGTTAATATCGTTGTGTGTAAATGGGGTAGCATATATGAATACAGTTTGCTTGGATTATAGTTAATGGCGTTACTTATAAGGGAAGATTAAAAGACAATGCATATAAAAAACTTAGCAAAAGTATCAGGCAGGTAGTCAACATTCACTAAATGTTCTACTATCCTATCGAGTAACAATAAACTTTGCAGAAAATGTAGGTATATTTTTTTAACTTTCCAGACATAAAAGCAAAGGAATAAACAATAAAAGATTTTTAGGTTTGACTTGCAGAAAATTTTTGAACTTCTGTATATCACTAGACACAATAATCAAATATAAAAGGCAAATAACAAGCTGGCAGAAATAATATATAAATTTTTTTATTGAGGTATAATCAACATACAGTATCTAACTAGTCTTAGTTATATATCATAGTCTTTCAATATTTTTATACATGTGAAATGGTCCCCACAATAAGTCGTTACCATTTGTCACCATACAAAGTTATTACAATGTTAATGACTATATTTCCTATGATGTACATTATATCCCCATGACATATTTATTTTATAACTGGAGTTTGTATTTCCTAATCTCCACCTATCTTGCCTACCACCTCCCAATACTTTCCTCCTCAGATAACCAAAAGCTTGTTTTCTGTATTTATGAGTCTGTTTCTGTTTTTTTTTTATTTTTTATTTTTAGATGTCACATGTAAGTGAAATCACATGATATTTGTCTGACTTATTTCACTTGGCATAATAGCCTGTAGATCCACCCATATTGTCACAGATGCTAAGATTTCATACTTTCTTATGACTCAGTAATATTCCCTTGTGTGAATGTGTGTATACCCCACTCCCCCACCCCCACTCACACACAGACATCTTCTTTATCCATTCATCTATCAGTAGACATTTAGGTTGCTTCCATATTTTGGCTATTGGAAATAATGCTACAGTGAACATAGCAGTGCATATTTGGATTGATGTTTATCATTTCTTCAGATAGGTATCCAGGAATAGAATTGGTAGATAATATAATAGTTGTATTTTTCATTTTTTGAGAAACCTTCATACTGTTTTCCATAGTGGTCACATAGTTTACATTCTTACCAACAGTGAGTTAGGGTTTCTCCACATCTTCACCAACATTTATTTTTTGTCTCTTTGATAATGGCCAGTCTGGTGTGAGGTGATATCTCATTGTGGCTTTGATTCACATGTCCTTGATGATTAGTGATATTGAGCATCTTTTCATTTGCATGTAGGCTATCTATATGTCTTTAGAAAAAGTCTGTTCAAGTCCTCTGCCCATTTTTTAAACAGGTCGGATTTGTTTTATTTTTAAGTTATGTAAATTCTTTGCATAATTGGATATTAACCCTTTGGGATGGATGATTTGCAAGTATCTTTTCCCATTCAGTGGTTTGCCTTTTCATTTGTTGGTGGTTTTCTTTACTGTGCAAAAGCTTTTTAGTTTGGTATAATCCCATTTGTTTAGTTTTTATTGGCCTTGCCTGAGGAGACTGGTCGAAAAAATTGCTATGACAGATGTCAAAGAGCTTACCACCTATGTTTTCTGTGAGTTGCATGGTTTCAGGTCCTACATGCAAGTCTTTAATCCACTTTGAATTTACTTTTTTTTTTTTTTTTTT